AATATTCTGGGATAAACATGCTCTCTTATCTCTTACTAACGGAGCAAATAGAAGGCAATCTGTTTGGTCAGATAGTGTATCTGTTTAGTGTTGCATTTAATACAAGTCCTCGGTAGTATAGTGGTCAGTATCCCCGCCTGTCACGCGGGAGACCGGGGTTCGATTCCCCGCCGGGGAGGATATTTTTTTCCCTCTAAATTATAGTAAACTTATAATTTTATTATTTATTTAATTAATTAGTTTTTAATTACTAATTAATTTAATATTTTAATTAATCGTTATTAGATTTTTAATCCATTACATCCTTATTTCACGCATAATAAAAATTTAATTCATTACTATCCTTATTTCACGTGCAATGAAAATATTAATTCAATCGAATATATATTAATTTTTTATTTAATTATATTATAATAAACCTGAATATAATACAGGTTTATTTATTACATTTTCATTAATTTTATTCCTTCAATTTATTTTCAGGTTTATATGCGCATGCCAAGACCTCCACCTGCTTAAATAATTTTAAATTATTATATTAATAATATTAATAACAATTGTTCTTAAGTTTATTTTTTAAAAGTCGATTCTCAATTTGTAAAGTGCTTAATGTTGTTATAAGATATTTCATACACTTAAATAGTATAATAATATATATTTCACATTAGATTTTTTATTTTATTTCATTTATTTTTGTTTTATGGCATTTTTTATTTAGAGCCCGGTGCACACGACGCCAGTATTTCTTGTAACAGGATTTCTGTCTAGTTGTCTGGTAAGATGAGCAAGAATTTTGCGTCATATTTTTACTTATTTTATGATTAATAATAATTTTGAGCATTTTCAAATAGATTATTATAAATATAGCCCTAAAATGCACTAATGCTTATAAGTGTACAAACAGAGCATTGTATGAAATGTAAACAATTAATATTCATGTATCGTATCCGATTAGGATTCATAGTAATCTATTTGAATATGTACGAAATTATTATTAATCATGAATAATAATCATGAATCATAAAATAAGTGAAAATCTGGCGCAAAATTCTTGCTCACCTTACCAGAAAACTAGACAGAAATCCTGTTACAAGAAATTCTGGCGTCGTGTGCACCGGGCTTTATTGTTAAATTGCTGTTTTAATGTAAATATTATAAATTTGATCAAGTAAGTATTAAAACATTTTGAAGACATGGAAAATTGTTAAACTATCTTTTATCATTTAGTATTGACAGTGGCGTCGGAATCTCTAAAAAAAAACGAGCCCACTGGCTGCCTATCCAAAAAAAAAAAAAAAACGAGCCCACCCATCAAAAATTTGGTTCCGACGACACTGAGTATTGATGTTCTGAATTATATGAATAAATAATATATTCAAATATATTAAATTCGTGGTATTCAATGTTACAATGTTACGTACAGGGTCGTACAGCTATTTCCAGAATATTATTTTAGAAAATGAATGAGAAAATAATTTTTTTTAATATATTTTTAAAGAATATGGATATGAAATATTAAATTATATCATTCAAATAGTAATGAAAATAGATTGTTAGAAAAATTAAAAAAAGGAAATTTTAAAAAACGGGTGGAGCTTCCTATAAAAAAAAGAAAAAAAGGTTGGATACCAGTGCATCAAAAAAAGAATTTTTATACGGTCATATAGGTAAAATTGAATTATGTTATATACGACAATTTTTTACATATATATTATATATACAGATTTATAATAATTAAAATAATTTGGGATCCACTTACCCTAAAACTACTGATTCTGCTCCCAATTATAATTATAATCAATAATAATAAAGAAACGTTTTATGATCTGAATGGCAGTTGCATTAGTTTGAGGTTAGATCTTTTCCAAATATATTTAAACACTTTAAAACATATTTTAACACTTGAAAACGATACCACTTCAAATTTAGTAATATTTATATACACTAGTTGGTTTGGTATTTAGCCTTGAGGCAAGTTACATGAACTTCCCGATATGTGTAAATAATCGACTTAATCAAAAAAAATGTGTAAATAATATACTTCATCAATCCTACTTTAAAAAAAACGATAATAATTTTAGCAAACTTTGACGAATTTGCAAAATTAAACTACTTGTCGTAAGGCCGTAATATTACAGTAAGTTCTATAAGACCATGATGTATATCGCCAAAAAAAGTTCCATGATAATCGGCTTAAATTTTTTATTCAACAGTTCATTACAAGAAAACGGCTCGGTAGATTTTCACCTAAAATTAATCAGTATCATTCCCATCTAATATCTTTCGAACAGTTTTTGATTTTTTAAAATCGGTTCGGTAGGATGAGCTTAAATGTGGACGAAAAGTTTAACACTTTATTTCAAATTGCAAAGAAACGGCTTGGCAGATCGTCACACAAAACTGACAAACGATAGTCCTCACCAAAATACATCAAATAGCTTTTAAATTTCTAAAATCGGCTCAGGCGTTTTTGAGAAAACGTCGATCAAAGGTCTAACTTTGACAAATGCCAAAAAAACAATACCAATTTTTGCAAACTTTGACGAATTTTTAAAGCTGAACCTGTTGTCGTAGGGCCGTAATATTTTAGTATGATATAGAAGACTATGGTATCTACCGTCAAAAAAATAATCATAAAAATCGTCGAAATTTTTTTTTTTAAAACTTTATTACAAGAAAACGGCCCGGCCGATCTCTACCAAAAACTAATCAGCACGATTCCCAACCAATATCTTTCGAACGATTTTTGAATTTTCAAAATCGATTCATAACTGCGGGCTAAAACGTGGACGAAAGAGTTTTCACTTCCCTGCTATTTACGAAGAAACGGTTTGGCCGATCGTCGCACAAAACTGACAAACAATAATCCTCATCGAAATACATCGAATGGCTTTTAAATTTTTGAAATCGGTCCAGCCGTTTTTGAGAAAACGGCGATTTACGGCAAAAAATCTGTTGGTGCACACGCACACACACACACACACACACATACTTTTCCAAATTTGGTCTCATTCGATTCAGAATGGCTTGAAACGTCGAGAAAACATAAAATTAGCGAATCGGATTTTTTTATGAAAACATAAACTTCTCCTTCGGGAAGTTAATAAAGAGTTATTTACACAATTATAATCAATAATAATAACTTAAAAGAAACGTGTTATGATCTGAATGACAGTTGCTTTAGTTTGAGGTTATATTTTTCAAATAACTATTTAAACACTTTAAAAACATATTTCAACACTAAACAACGATACTACTTACATAAAAGTAATATTTACACTCTCACAGATTATTGTATTGATAATCACACAACTAAAATGAATAAAAATGACTTAACACTACTTATTTGACATTTTGTAGTTTTGAAAGAAAGTTGCTTCACGCCATTGCAGAAATTTGCATTGTTACCAACTGCAGAAACTAAAAATTTGATTTTGATAATAAAATTTTATAAATATTAAACAATTTTATCAAAGTCACAATACAATTAATTAATAGAAATTAATTAATTTAATCCATTAAAGTTAATAATTAAGTCTTAACACAAAATTGTTTTAATTTTACAAAATTTGTTTACGTTTCAAATGACAGTTGCGTAACGCCATTTTGAACAATCAAAACTTTGACGTTTGTGCACAATTGTTAAAAATGTCCTTTTAACATTTATTATTTATCCCAATGAATAAAGCAGAATCCGGCCTCCAATTACTAAGTCGTTTAGACGACCGCCCTCTTCTAAACGACTTCGATACAGTCCTATTCCCAAACGGGGGCCCATTCCCCAAAGAAATAATAGAAATAACCGGGGACTCCAACACTGGTAAAACATTATTACTTACAGAAATCATAGCTAAGGCTATTTTACCTGTACGACACGGCGGACGAAACGTTGGAGTCATTTTAATAGACACCGACTGCCACTTTCAAATCATAAAACTAGTTACAGCTTTGGAAAAATTTGCCACAACACAAGATGAAGATATAAATGACATAATAAAGGAGTCTTTGGTGAATTTTAACATCTTACAATGTCATGATAGTATGCAGTTGAATGTAACTATCAAAAGACTCGATGATATTTTGATACAAAACACAGATGTTTGTATTTTAGCAATGGATAATATTTCATCGTTCTACTGGTCTGAACAGAATCAAATTAAAATGGATACTTACTACCGAACGATTTTGAGGAGTATTCAAGGTGCTACTTGGGAATATAAAGTTGTCTTTTTCTACACAAGGCCTGGTTATTTTTTTACTAAAAACACTGGAGATAATTTTACTGAAGTACCTAGAAGTGGATGTATTAATTATCGTGTTAAATTGGAACTAGCAGAAGACGAGAAGATGGATTGTGATGGGGATGTTAAAATGGATGCTGAAGCTGTCGATGTGAAATATTTTCAAGCTTGTATTGAAACTGCAAAGGATAAATTTGTTAATAGATATGTTATAAATGAACAAGGGTTTGAATGGAATAAATAAATATAAATGTAGTGTAATTAAATAGTTCTGTTAATATATAAAAAAAATTATAAATTATTTAGCAAGCTTCTTTTTCCATCCTACCTTGTCTTGAATTTCTATCCGAAACAAATTATCAAAAGTATTTATTATTAATTTGTAATTTATTCGTCGATTTACAGATTAAACGTTTTAAATCTATAATTAACTAAAATGTACTTATTGCAATTATTTAAATCGATACTACAATCACTATTTGAATGACTCAGTGGTGAGAAGATGATGATTAATTAAAATTTATGTAAAGTTAAAAGAAAATAATAAAAATTCATTTTGGTATTATATCAATTAATTGATTTAAAAATCAATCTAGTATTTTTTGTTGTCTTTTTGTTGTATTTTTGTTTTTTGTTGTAAATTGTACAAAAAGCTAATTTAACTACTCATTTGAAGAGATTGAGTCTAAAAACATATGAGTTGCTAAGCAAAACCTACAGAATTACAACAAATTTAAATTAAATTTTAAATCCAGGTGCTCCATATTTCTATTAATTATTGTTATATTTACCACTATTGACTTCGAAAAAGATGTTTCCTTAAAGCTAAATCGAATGTAATGTTTTTGTTAATGTCTTTTTCTTATTTTCTTGTACATTTCTTATTTTTAAACTTTTACATCGTGATGATTTTTGCTACTGATGCCATAACTGCTAATGTCATAACCGAGGACCACACTTGTGTGCCTGGAGCTCCGGCTGAAAAAATAAATGTTAAGATGAAATATTAATCATAATTTGTAAAAGAAAAAACTTATATTGTAAAAATACTTAATAATAAAAATAAAAATCATAATGATATTAATAATAATAATAATAATAATATAAGACTTAAATTTGTTAAAATATCATAAAATAAGATAAATTTGTTAAATAAAATAAATATATTGTAATAGTATTGTAAAGATTATTAAAATACTTATTAAATTTAAAAAAAAATTCTTGCAACATACAAACTAGTTATATTTAAAAATAATTAAACTTAACTAAATATAAATAAGTTTATATATAATATATTATATTACTATAGTAAATAAATTAAATAATAAATAAATAAGTAATAAAATAGCTAGATTTAATTAATTAAATTATATTAAACCTATAAAATATTGACTTGAGCCTTATTATAATATTATAGTAAAATAAATAAATAAATAAATATCTTATATATAAAATTCTTCTGTAATAAAAGAACAATTCTCCTAAACGATTATTCGGATTTTGATAAATCTTTCTGAAGTTTGTTAAGGGATTTTTTTAAGATTTTTTTATTATAGAAATATAGTTAGATTGTAGAGATAAATGGTAAAAATTACAAAAGACCGCTTATCATTATCATTATCATTATACCGACGGCTTGCAAAATAAATAAACAAATAAATAAATATCTTATATATAAAATTCTTCTGTAATGAAAGAACAATTCTCCTAAACGATTGTTCGGATTTTGATAAATCTTTTTGAAGTTTGTTAAGGAAATTTTTTAGGATTTTTTGATTTATAGAAATATAGTTAGATTGTAGAAATAAATGAAGAAAATCACAAAAAAACGCTTATCATTGATTGACACTGAAAATATTTGAGGAAAAAAATAGAAATTCACAAACATTTATATGAGGCGTGCTTTGCAGTGGGTAAACTATTCATAAATTTTTTGTTAGCTGCTCCTTTTACTTATGCACAACATTTGTAATCAGTTATAGTTATTTTCGTACTAAACTTATTATACTAGAAGTATTTTTTATGGCAAAACAACATTTGCCGGGCCAGCTAGTATATATATATATATATATATATATATATATTTTACTTACATCCGCATTTTCCGTCCTCAGTGACTGGAAATTCAGGTTTGCAAAGACACTTGTTCTGGAAACATCTGATCCTGTCTCTGTATTCTTCTCCGATGAAACATTCGATATCATCAACGCAATTCTGGTTATAGCCTTTAAAATACATACAAAAATTTGATTTTATTACACAACAGTAATTAATTTATTTCGATTAGAAAAATGAAGTGTTTTTTAGTTGAACTTCTCTTAGTAAATTAAAGTGAATCCGCACATTATCCGTTTCATTGAAGTGCTCTTTAATAAACCACATTTTTTGTTTTTTGGTCTGACGTTAACACAAACAAAGCGGATTGTTTTCCAACTCGTGAACAGGTAACTCATAAGAGCCCATGTGAAAAACAATGATTTTCTAAATAATCTATTAGAAATTTATCCCGCAAACACTAAACGATTGGCCTTGCGACTTAATAATTGTCATTGCGAACGCAAGGCGAACTGGAAATTGCAATCGTTTGAAGTCAAACGGAAGACCAGTCAGAATCATTGGTATGTCACCAAATCGCCAGCAATTTTTGATTGAATGGTGAAATTCACTGAGTGTACATCATTATTCTTTGCGGCAAGAATTGCACGTTGACTTAACCAAGCATAATTCTGATAATTCTCACTAATGTCATTACTCGAATTTTTAATTACGGTGCGTGAAGTTCCAGCAATTTGCATTAGGGCACGATGCCATGCACCACTAATTTTCTTAGCTATAAACCTTGCGGAGCCCGAGACCTTTCCACGAAGGAAAACCCGACTTATTTTTTATATATATAGAATATTAGTATTATTACCTTTAGATTGGATGCAAGTTCTGTTCCTCGATTCGTGGTGATCTTCCCTGCACACACAGACTTCTCGGACACAATGAGCATTGAAGTTGAATTTTGTGTGACATTGTTCGCCTACGTTGCAGTGTTCACCCAATTGTTTACCTGCAAAATAAATAAATGAATAAAAACAATTAAAAGGCAGAAGATTTGTTTCAGTTAAAAGGATATAGTCTTACGTTCTAGACATATTGGGTCTTCTGGATGAGGCACAAAGTTGAATTTGCAAACACAAATGCCACTATCGCATCTTGAATTGGGAAGACTGGCACATTCTTGATCTGACATACATATAGCACCAACAGCTAAAAGAAATAAATACTAATTAAAAAAAAGAGTGCGCGTAAGGTTAACGCGATTGAAGTAAAACTTTTTTGCTATTGTACAAGATGGCATTTAAGTAAAAATACATACATCATATAACATTTTTGAATAATGTTTATAAGTAATATGGGTAACACTTGCGATGCACTCATTTATTAGTGTCAACCATTATACACATTTATATAATGATAAATTATAAATTATATATTCATGATTGCATTAAAAATATGTATATTATTTAGAAATAATAATGTAATTAAAGTCATACTTCAAATACGACATGATCGGTTTGTCATTGTAATTAGCATTTAGGACTCGAGCCTTCATTAGAGAAATGAAGTAATTGTTGGTTTAATAATTAATTCTATAATATTCGTTCACACAGTGGATTATGTTAAACAACGCCTAAACAAATATTGTTTTCGCAACTTCACTCATCATGTAATAATTGTGTTTGAAGAACTTTATGTGATTAAAATTAACATACATTCATTGACTTCTTGTTTTTTTCACTATTTTGCTGGCGATATAATCTCATTATTTGAACATCTGCAATATTTTGTCTAGTCTAAAAAATATTTTCCATTTTAATAACTTCAACGATTTATAGAAACTTCGAATAAAATGGAAATAATTTCTAATCAATAAACTTACGTTTAGTACACGGCCCAAATTTTTAGTTTGTTTTATTATTAACGGGGGACAAGGTAAAATATTCTTCTGATTCAGGCATTTTTTATTAGATCAAGATTTGTACTACGATGTAACTTAAAAATGTTTATTTATCTATGCCGATTTCCTTGTTGATGTCGGTACGCATACAACGACATTTCTCTATTCACACGACACGACGACTAATCACAATCGACCCGTATAGAAATGATCTCATCAAGAGCGAATAACGTACAGTTCGGGCGTAACGCTTTTTCCGTTGCATTTGTACGGATTTACACCCTAGTCGCGCATAAAGAAATATTATAAAAATATTTTTCTACTCACCAGCTATACAATCGTTTCTCTCCTTGGTAAGCCTGAAGCCCTTTTTACAGACACATTTACCCTGAGACTGGTCACAGAAGACATTCTTCATACGACAGTCCTGGTCATAATTGCAACGGTCGTCCAGGGCTCGACTGAATCCTAAAATAATAATAATTCATATATATATATATATATATATATATATATATATATATATATATATATATATATAAATAATGCAATCTTCTACAATTTTTATTAAATCACCATTAACTCATCACCAATTCTCTATATTCAAAATACTGTCCGCAACACTTTCATTACACATACCACCAACTTCACACTCAACTTATTAGCCAACTTTACACTCAACTTATAAGACCGTTACATTCAAAAATTGAATTAACTATACTCTGAAATGGTTTGAACGATTTTTATAAAATTTTGAAATCACGTTAGATCATGCCTGATCGGCCAGAATTTATTTTTCATACCCATATTTTTCATGTATTAAGGGTTGACCGATTGAGTTTCATATTTCATAATTAAAGATATAAAGCCCTAAATTTCGAAATAGTGATCGTAGATTACGATAGTAATAGCCATTTTAGTAATCACTGCTGAAACTTCCCGTACATAATTTTTCGAATTTCTTTTCAAAGCAATTGCGCTGCGTACTGCTTTAGACGCTTTTTTAACCGTCAAATGGCGTTTAAAAAATTTTTTTTTGTTGGATCTCCGAAACCGCTTTCCAAAAATTCAATAAGTTCTTCATTTCGCCAATACAAATAAAACGTTTTTCAATAAACATACAAATTAAATGTTGTTCATTCAAATCGGATGATCCGTTCTCTCAGAAACTCGATTTCTATTTTCTGCACCCTTTGTTCCGTATCTCCGTAACGGCGGGACTTGCCTTTGCCAAAAACTAATCAGCACATCTCCCTATCAATAGAAATCGAGTGTTTTTTGAACTATTTGAACGTGTTTTCAAAATCGTTCAAAATTTGATCCGCACATACATACATCAAACGTAAAGATACATAAAAAAATCATTTTCGATTTTTTTGCAATTATTATAACTTACCCTACGGGAAGTTAATGGATGTTTGGATTTCACTTCGTAAATTAATGAATTATTGAAAAGCGCTGTAATAATAGATCAAAACCATAAATATCAAAATGTGTCAGTCAATTCAATTGAAATGAAATCAGTTTGAGATTAGATTGGCACTTGCAATGAATATTAATACGCCCAATGAACATTTTTTGTATGTGGCATGCGTTGCAATGGGTAAACCATACATATAATTTGTGTTAGCTGCCTTTTCACTTATATACCTTACACTTCTATATTCACAATCAATGTTCTAGAAATATTTCAGAAACAACGTTTGCCGGACCAGCTAGTATATATATATATATATATATATATATAATATTTACAAAAGCCAAGCCCTTTCCCAAACCTTCGCATTCCTTGTACTTAAATTGAAAGTAAAAACAAAGGTATACCATTGTATTGTTTTTATTGTAGTACATCTAATGAAATGTATTTCCAAATAAGGTAAAAATTATTCTATTTTCGACGTCTAATAACATCTACAAAATATCTAATATTTTATTTAAAAAAAAAACATTGCATTTTTAATTAACTAAAATGAATTTTTTTGCATTTCTCGACGTTTTGAAGGTTTCTGAACATTTTTAAAGAGCATACCTCAGAAACTGAATGAATGTGTGTGTGTGTGTGTTTTGTATGTTCGCATTTTTTTTTTTTTTTCAGGATAAAATATTTGATTATATGATACGATAAAATATTTATATTTAATTAATTTTAATTTCAGTGTTGAAACGATTCAAAATGACTTGAAAAGCTGAAAAAATATAAAATGACCGAATTGAAAAAAAAAAAGATATTTAAAATGATACTGTGATAATAATCTATATTAGTCATATAATAGTAAATTAATTCTTTTGATAGCACAAGAGAAAGAGATAATTGAAATAAATATATAACAACTTCTTAGAAAAATTGTGATGTAATTGTTATGCAAAAATAATATATTTTACTCTTATTTATTATTCGACGAACGACTTTTTCTTTTTCCTCAAAACTGAAATCATTTCCAGATCATCGAAATCAATATCTAGTATTATAATCCTTACAAAATCTCGGATACTTCAAAATCGTAATTCAGAATAATTATAAATTTTTGACGAGATATCTTAAATCATGAGATTAATTAAAATGAGTAATTTAATAAGTCGTTTAAAATTAAATTGTCTATAAGTTTGATTTAACAACAAATGAGCATAGAACTCGCCATAAATTCTCGTATTAAAACAAAATTTTCCTGTAGCAGTAAATAACTTTAAAAACTCTATTAAGGGGCACAACTAGTATAACCGCTTAAAAAAAAAGATTTTTGGGAATTTATATTAAAAAAACTACTTTATCAATCATTTCGAAATTTTAGGAATATTTTTATACATGTTTTGAGAATACATAGTAAAATTCTTGAAGAAAAAAAATTAATTTTTTTAAGTCATCGTCGATCTCCAACGGCGCGACAAAAAAAGGCCCTTAAAGGATTTTGATCTTCTACGTGGATGAAATTTAAAAAAACTAGTGGGGTGGGTGGCATCGTGCCTTAAGGCAAATTGCTGGAACTTCCCGTACCGTAACGAAATGTTCGAGGAATACTGAATGTTTTCAAATAGATTATTATAAATATTGTAACATTGTCTAATATTTATAAGAATTATATAAACTGAATTGCAAAGTTGAAATTATTTGTTTCAACAAAAAAACTAAAAAAAAAATAAAAAAAAAAAAATCGAACAAAAATTTTTTTTTCCAAAATCAATTATTTTGTTAAGACAAGCAGAAAGTTTTTTGAATCATTTAAATCGGACGCTTAGTTCTCTCAAAAACTGCCATTTTTTACATATTTAGCTCCGTATCTTCGAAATGGCTGGGCCTGCCTTTGCCAAAAACTAATAAACACTTTTCCCAATCATTACTAATTGAATGTTTTTTAGATCATTCAAATCGGATACTCCGTTCTCTCAAAAATTCGATTTCTATTTTCCGCACTCTTTGCTCCGTATCTCCGAAACGGCTGGACCTGCCTTTGCCAAAAACTAATCAGCTCTTTTCCCTATCAATAGGAATCGAATGTTTTTTGAACCATTCAAATCGATTGATCCGTGCGCCCGAAAACGTGACTGGAAATTTGTATCCACACATACATACACACACACACATACACACACACACACACACATCCATTTTTTCTGAGGTATGCCAAAATGTTCAGAAACCTTCAAAACGTCGAGAAATGTAAAAATTTTCAATTCCGATTTTCGGCCCATTACAATAACTTACCCTACGGAAAGTTAAAAAAATTTTCGTTAAACTAGATAATATTGTCTGTAAAATTAACTACGATAAAGAAAAAAAAATCAAAAATTGAAAAAATGACGGCGTTTTTTAAAAAAAAGTCGAATTTTACCCAAAATTTTGGTCGTTTTTGGACTGCCAAACTTCGATTTTTGATCCGGTTAAAAAATAGTTCATTTTACGGAAAACTATATACAGAACATGTAAAAAAATTTGATAGCGATCGGATCATTTGTTTTTGAGTAATCGCTGCAGCAAATTCGGAAAATGCTGTTTCGAGAAAAACGCTTTTAAAGATAAAATGTTCGTCATACTATATACTGTAACTCAAAAACTATTCAAGATATCGATTTAAAATTTTAGCATGTCATTTTTAAAGGTATAACCTATCAAAATATGGAAGAATTCAAAATTCGATTTTTTGAAAATTTTACACCAGATGTGCCCCTTAAATCAACTATACATACGTAAAACGCACATTTATCCATTATATCCTAAATAACTTCTAAAATATTCATGTTACAAAAAATGACATAAATGAAACATTTTTAGATAATTTAATTCTGCACAACTTTGCCTAACATCAAAAAACCCTACAATAACTCTCTATACTCTAAAATCGCAATTGAAAGTGAATACATTCGTCTTTTTTTAGTTCACAATTACGCCACCCAATGGCGTAAGCCACACCTAAAACCAAAAACCAAGAAAACTATAAAACACTTGCAACTAAATCTTTTACCTACACAAACTACAGTTTTATAAAGCCTTGCAATATTTAAATACAATTAAATTTTAATAAATAATTATTTTCTAATTAATTTACCATCATCGACTTGGCTCGTTACATAAGAAACCAGCGCCACCAGCGCCAAAGCGATCAAACAACGCACGGAACACAGGGCGGCCATTTTGTCACAATTATTTGAATTAAATTAATAAAAAAAAGACACGATTAATATGAAGCACTTGTGCACTTTAATAAAATCAATCACTCTGTAATAATTATTAGATGAATTAATTAATTTAATTGGTCGGTGTTTCTATTATTTATGAGCCGCAGCAGCAGCTGGCAAACGGCGGCAAGGTGACGAACGACTAATTTCCGATGATGGGTTATTACGTGAAAAGAAAAAAATTCGGCGATAATATTATGGCTTTATCTGTAACTATCAAAAGGTATTACAAGTGCAGATATTAGAATTATCAGTGAATATTCAATAGATAATGACATTGGTCATCACATCTACATATACATATATGTACATATAAATATCTTTTGATATTTATATGTATATATATATATATATATATATATATATATATATTAACAAACTCTAGTAATCGGGCATAACATCAATAAAAAACGTGAATTTCTTTCAAAAATTTATTTTAAATCCATACGTTTCGGCTATAATCCTAGCCTTCATTCAGCGGAAACTAAAAATAAAATTAAAAACTAAAACAATTGAATCGGAGTGAAAAGAAAAAATTAAAATAGTAAATAGTACTTACAATTAGTTAATCTTAGTGTTAAATTGGAAGATTTTAATAATCCATGGTATCAAAATATGGTAATGCAGTACACTATGTATTATAAACATTGAACTTGTAATTACACAATATTTTCACAAAATACTAATTTAAAAAATCACAATTGGTTAATGTGTTGTTCGTAGACTGGTTAAAGATATAATGGAGAAAGACTTTTAAAAAAATATTTTTACCAAGATTCTACACATGTGTGGAACGAATTGCGAATCCTTTGCTCGACGTTTTTATTGTTTTATGAGAAAATTGGAAATGCTATCTAAATAAAAGAGATTTGTGTCGCACAGCGTGTTAAGTTCATTCCGTTTATTTATTGTTATATTGCTATAAATAGTTAAAAAAGATCCTTCTATAATTCTTCGTTTGAATAAATTTTGTTCGAAGTTTCGTAGTACAGTCGGGTTGGAAAAGTCCATATTGTGTTTTAAAGTATAAATATGCTCCGCAATCATAGTTTTAAATTGTCTCGGATTTTTTTAATTGTTTTTATGTTGTTGTAAATCGTTTCATTAAGTTCTGGCTTGTTTCTCCTATGTAAATTAAATTACAATCTAAACAATTTATTTGATAGACGAGATTTCTGAGTCGTTCGATATTAAATGGGGTTTTTGTTTTGGTAAAAATAGTGCTAGTAGTTGTACTAAAATTGGTTACAAGTCGGAGTCCAGATTTATAAAAAAGTTTTTTCCAAGGAACATACAATTCTTTAATGTATGACAAACATATTACACCAGAATGAGTTTCTGAGTGAGGTAAATCGTTTTGTACTGTGGAATTGTTCATTTTATTCAAAAGGTATGTTCGTCTGTTACTGGTTACGGAGTTTATAAGTTTTAAGGGATTGGAGTTATCTGTTAGAATTTATCTTGTGTTTTAAGTCAGTAACGAGTTCATAAGAATTTTTTATGTAGTGTGGTGATTGTTTTGTTATTGTAGTTATGATGTTACTTATGTATTTCGCGAGTTTATATAGAGGGGTATTAATGTCTGAAACTATTGGTCTAAAAAGTAAATTATTTTTGTGGATTTTGGGAAGGCCATAAAGTCTGCAGAAATATGGATGTAAATTTTTCAGGTCAGATGTTATCTCTTTGGATAGTTGTTTGTTTGCTGTGAGTTTGTCTAAATATTTATGGCACGTACGGTTTATGTAGTCAGTTCACACTAGATTACTAAAATTCACACTAGAAATCTCTTTTATGAAAAATTCATCTCACATATTAATTCCTTTAATACTAAAAATACAACTTACGATAATATTCTTAGAGACCTTAAAGCTTGCAAAATATTTCTCAAAAATCATCCGGATATAGTGGTCACTAAAGCGGATAAAGGCAACATCACCATTATATAGAAAAGCAAGACTATATAAATAAAATATCTGAATTATTACTTGACACTAATACTTACAAAATTACTTAACTGTATGGGAGCACTTTTTCAATTTTGTGAAAACTATTTTTTTTAAAATTGAATTCGAAATGAAATGACGATTGTTAATGTTCTGGAGATAAATTGATTTATGATTTATGACATTTGATTTGCTCATATATAACAAACAAAGATAGCAAAAATAATGAAAGTTACGGTATTTGTAATAATATATTTGAAAACGTTTAAAATTTCTCGAATATTTCATTACGGGTCGGGAAGTTCCGGCAATTTGCCTCAAGGCACGATGCCATACACGGTGTATGATACACCACTAGTTCCAGCCAACCTACATTTGTCAATCTTCTCTAAATAATTTTTGTCAGTCTTCCTCAGAGTTCATGTCTCTGATCCGTCCAGAGATATTATTAATTATACCTAATAGTAATTCAATTGAACTTTGTATCACGGTTCTCGTGAATGACAAAACATAATTTATTATCAAAAAACACCGATTCAAACGAAATATTTGTGTCATTGTTATCTCTATAAAGATTACCTAGAAGGACTTACGTGAATTGATTCGATTGAGTCATTTAGG